GCATTACCTCTTTAGAAAACCAAAGCTTGAAGTAGAGAACAAAATCCATTCTCCTGTGCTCTGAAGTAAACATTTTCATTACAGGTTCTGCTGCTTGTTTTAAATATTTCCTTGACAGGTTGCCTTGTTAAATTCGTTACTGAGTGAAATATAGTAAAGGACATGTGTTTGATTCCAAATGGGTTTGCAAAAGGCAGCACATACCAGTATTCATAAAAAAACCTCTTATCCCTAGTGGGCTCTCACAGTAATGTTATATGATCCACCTGTATAGGAACCTGTTACACAGAAATATGTGTTACACTGAGTGCCTTAAATATGTAGCCTAACGTACGCAAGTAAGTGAAACCTTTCAGGTGACATAATGTTGTTCTTAATCTAACAAGCACATGTATTTCTGTTACAGTTTAGATTTAATGTAGTCATTCTTAATTTCTTGGTTTGTTTTTTTTTCCCAATATAACTGTATATATTGAGGCAAGTATAACGTTTTTTCCCTGCTGTTAATCAGCTTTTTAATCAAATTTTGTACTCTATACTCTACAACCTGCCTTTCAGAACTTTGTAACACTATTATTAAAGATCTGCTGGAGTCATCAACAAATGCCATTTACTTCTTCCCAATTGTTCTCTTGTTAACCTAAACAACGTAAAATGAAAATTACCATGTTTTCTAAAATCTCTGCCATGCCTTTTTTAGGTCTCACTTCATTTTCATCTGTCACCATCTTCATGTTAAGGAATACTTACCAGAAGGCTGAACTTCTGTGTCTTGCAAGAGAGAGTGGAAGCTGTGGTTTTGTAGATTTGTGTGCAGTTTCTTTCTCTGTCATGTATTTTTTAACAGCAGGTATGGGCTCCTCTGCACTTGTTCTTTCAGCAGAAAAATGGTGAATGAGGAGCCTTTGATGCAACATGGTGTGATGGCATCACAGAACAACAAATCCACATCCTTTTGTTTAGACTAAAATTCTTAGTGAGCTCGAAGTTAACTGTTCCAAGTCAGCACTTTCTTTGAATCCCTTATTTTTTGCTTAGTGAGCTGGTGGGACTTTGATGAAGATTCACAAAAGTGAATGGTTTGGTTTTGCCTTTTGCGTCTCCCGTTCACCCCATGAAGCTCTGCTGGGCTGCATTTCAAACCCATATGCTCACAGCGTTCTCTTGCAGCATGATGTGCACACTGGTCACCTTCCTGGGTCCTGTGAGGATAAAAGGTCATAACCATCCACCCTGGGAAAAGATTTTTAGTAGTTTGCAGTTGCTTCTCTCAGGCTCTTCCTTGACATTTTTGTTTCAGAGAAGTTCAAAGGTGATAGTTCCATTTTCTTAGATGGAGAAGATTATGGGTTCAGACTTTGGATGCTGGAGAAAATACAGTAGATGAGAACACCATGGGAGGTGTTGTCAGTTTTTAGACAACTGTTAACCAGGAGTTACAGAATCACTTTGGTGAATGTACCTCTTCACATGCATTTTCTATTACTGCCACGTCTTTCTTTTGGAGAAGTTTAAGTAAATTGTATTTGCATTTCACAGAAGTAGCACTCGTTGAAGGCTTTGATAAATCTAAAGTAACATTTATTGTCATTTTTGTAACCAGGAAATGAGTTTATTAATGTAGGAACTCAATTAGATATGTTACCCATACTTCTTATCATTTAGCTAAAACAAAGCTTACCTGGAGACAGGAACATATCTAGGAAAATGTACTTTACCAAAAATCTCCTAGTTTATTTTTATCTAAGAAATATGTTTGGATGAGTGGCTTGGATAAATGCTGCAGGTTTCTTATAAGCAGTTTGCTCATCTGATTTGAGTTGGAGTTACAAAATACTGTTTACGTGAAGTGGTAAGACAACCTTACCAGTGGCAAAAGCTTGTTTTGTTTGTCTTCTTTTTTTCCCCAGTTACCACATGTGTTTGAGAGCATGTGTACAGTTTTGTGCTTTCTTCCAAAAAACAAATAAAGTATTCTGCTCTTCAGAAGGATTACAAGAAAACTGATTAAGAGGGCAGAAGCAGTTGGCGTTTCTGAGATTTTAAATAAAGTTAGCAGCCTATTTAATAAGCAATAAGTAACAGAAATTCACTGAATGGATGTTCTGGATGTAAAATTTCTTGCATGATACTAAGTATGTCATGAGTTCCAAAAAGAAAGAGATGAATCAGATGGTAGGACATGAAATAGTTATATAAATTCTGGTTTGAAAAGTCTTTACACTGACTACCCTTACACCGCTGGCCAGCTTCCTTCTGGTGTTGTTTTGAGAAGTCTGTCATCACACTTGACGTGCCTACTGAGGATCACACTGGTATCCTTTATGGTCACATGCTCTGAAGGAAATACTAAGTGGTTGAGAAATAATACATTAATAAGTATATTTCAAAGTAATATAGTTCTGAATGCCTATCACAACTGATAGGCAACTCATTTCTGATAGCAGATAAATCTGATTCTTACGGAGTCTGAGTTGGCCTGGAGTCACGTTCATTATTCTGACATCCTCTGACACCACCTCTGATGATGTAGGTTAGTATTGGGTTATTCCTTTCCCTCACATGGATCCTAGTAGCCTGGGTTCATTCAGCCAAATGTAAGATCAATACTCTACAAATATGTAGTCCTGACAAGTGTTTTGCAAAACGTTATAAATTTGAAAAAATGAGTAACGTGAGATATTTTTATCTGCACTCCATAACTACCCATCTATGTACGTTGAGCTGTTCTGTTACCAATTCAGATTTTCTATATGAGTATTTATTGAGGTGACCTTTTGCTGCATTTTAAAAGAGTGTGTAATGATAGACTTCTTCAGAGTTGCAAATACTAGAACGCAATCATTAGTCAAAAATGTTTCTAGAACTTTAGATGCCTTTTCGTTTATATCTTAGATTTTCCAAAGCTTTACTGATGAACAAAACTTTTAATTTTTTTGCCTTTGTCTCAGAAATCCTGTAAAGTGCAGCAGTCAGTGCATGGATCATGTATTAGCAGTGAATTAAGACTACTTTCTTCAAACGAACAGCACCAAACTAGCGGGTGTTGGGCACTGCTTGCTTTGTCAGGTTTACTGTTGGATGGTGGAGTTAGAACTTGGTCACCAGAGGGAGGGGTGGTAGAGATGGAACAAGCTGCAAGGCACATTTGCTTCCGTAGGTTTGTAGTGCAGGTTCTCAAGCTCACAATGTTTCTAAAGCAGTTTTTCTGCAATGGTCTGGTGCAGAATTTAGTGTTAAGTTGCTTTCACCTTCTTTTTCGATGTTCACCCTCCATGCCCTGACTGCGTATCTTCGCTTGTGGCATGGGAGGTACTAGTCAGCATACATACATAAAATATTTACATCTTTTGTTACTGGTTGAGTAACATTTTACACTTAATAGAATTCTTAATCTCTGTTCCACACATGATGACGCGTAAAACTCATGTACATTACTTACAGGAACACAGCAGTCACGGAAGCCGTGGGGAGTAGTTAGCACTGGCAAAAGAGAATTTGTGTAGATTTAAGTGGCTTGCTCTGAAGGTCATAATTAGTGAGTTTTGTGATAAGATTTAGTCAACCTTTAAAAAAACGTCTAGAGGCAGTGACTCATTGTATATAGCATTTACCTCTTTGGCATATGAGCCTTCTAAGAACAGGTGCAAAAATCTTCCGAAAAAGCTCCTGAGTCCTATTTTTGAGAAAAGATGAGGCTACAGGTGAATTGAGAGGGAAATCGCCTTAGAATATGTCTGAATTAAGCATATGTATTATATTAAAATATCGGAACTGTAGCATGGGATTTTGCGAGGCCTATTTTCCCATTATGCGAGCTCTGATTTGTTTTCGATAGTGACATTTATTTCATGTTCAATGTTGTTGTCTGTGTGTCAGGATACACAGTTTTCTTAAAGCAGGATGTTGCACACATTAGGATTCCCTAAAGCCCCTGAAACCTCTCTTGAAGTCAGCCAGAATGCTCATAAACTTAGATACTTGGGTCTTTGGTAAATATTACCATAATAGCAATAAAGATAAAGTAAGCTAATGTGAAAAGGAAGAAATTTCTTTTTCTCCCCAAGTATCACTTAGAATTCTTTCCCTGTTCTTTGATATTTTCAATAAATCAGAAAATACACAAAATACACCATCTGTATGAAGATTCAGTCTCACAGTATGGAGTCCTTTACAGACTGACAGAATTGTGCAGGTTGAAAAAGGCCTTTAAGATCGAGTCCAACCATTGACCTAACACTAAGTCCAGCAACTCTTTGTGGAAGGGCTAGATTAATGAAGTAAAACTCATACTAAAAGTCATATTAGAGTGGTGGAATGGTCTCTGTTCAGCTTAATGGACTCAGACCTTTATAATTTGATATAGCTGTTATAATATCATTATTTTTGTTTTCATTATACTTTGGGGGTTTATTTTGACTCATGTTGGGTCTCTTTTTTTTTTTCCTGTTATATAGGGGCCCTTCATATCAGCTTTATTTGGAAAAGGATTACATAGAAGTGGTTTTGCCTGCTCTAGTTATATAGTTTTTTCACAAGCATACTTTTAAGGCCAATATTTTCATGTTGTTTCTTCTGCACTGATTGTAAAATATGCACAATTATTAAATGATAGGTATAACGTTGTAGCTGCAACTTGAGTAAACTTCCATTTTTTTAATCCTTCGTTTTAATTAGTTTATAAAAATGTTTGGTAAAATGCTACTTCCACGAACACTTTAGTTTTGAAGATTTGAGTTAGGTTCATCTTTTCCTTGCGTTCTTGATTATGGTTACATACGTGTTTACGTTTTTAAAACATTTTACAATACATCATGTTATAGCTGAGGAAAAGTTTCCTGTTCTCATATCCTGCGCATCTTTCATTAGAAGAACAAAAAGATGGGAAGGTAAAATGGCCTTTGTGTCATACACTAACAAGAAATACTTTGTGTAATGCAGGCACATCACAAACCAATCATTATAGCAAACACGTTTATTAAAATTAATTCTGTTTCTAGGTTCCATGGTTCCTTTCTCCATGCGGATTTTACATGCTGAACTTCCTCAGTACCTAGGTAATCCTCAGGAATCGCTTGACAGACTGCATAGTATGAAGATAATCTGCACCAAGGTACCAGCCTCTCTATGCATTAACATTTCTTAATGTTTAAGAAATATATTTTAGTGTCCTTATAAAGAATGCTAAATTTCAATTATGACTTTTTTTTTACTCTATCTTGATACAGATAAGGAAATCACTGATAGAAGTAATAAAGTGCCTTTCTCATTTTAGCATATGCCCTTCTCTCCTCTGTGGTAACTGTGACTAAAACGAGTAGAAGAGTGGACAACATAGTTCTCTGGCTTTTGTGCTTTTGCCAGACAAGACACAGAGGGTAGTAAGGAGGTGTGTTTAAGGGCAAATAGGAGAGCTTTCTTCCTTCACTCGGTTGTATCCAGTAGCTCAAAACACAGCTGTTGATGGTCTTGATCCTTCAAAAGTAGTCTTGATTCTTCAGAAATAGGCTGAAGAGCTGGTGTGGGCAACAACAGTTTGTTCAGGGGAGGTTGTTTGGTTTTGTCAAGGGCTATAATACGAAATTACGGCTTAAGTTATAACATGGGATTTGTTGATGCTTAAATTGAAGTGATGGTATTGTGAGCACTAACCTTATCCACTAAACCCATCTCCCTCTAAACATTCATTCTTAAATTTTTTTTACAGATATCTTTCTCAAGAAAAAATCAGCTTGCTACTAGCACAGTAGTGATTAGGATAAACAAATGTTTAGAGTAAAAAAAGCCCCGTTCGTTGTTTTGTGAGAGAGAAAGCTGACAAGTTCAGGTAGTAAGAGATGAATATGGCATTTGGCATACAGTTGAGAAGAACTGATTTGAAAACAGAGGAGAGGGACTAGTTTATCCAAGAAGGGCTACTTTATAGCCCTTCACAAATGCTGTTACCTCTTCATGGATATCTTACCTAGTAGTATTACTGGCAGGCTGTTCTCTCCAGCCTTTTCCTTCATAAGCAGTCCACCTCAATTTGAAGTATTTTTCTTCTAGGAAATGCCATACTCCTCTGTTGCAGAATTTTTCAGTGCTTCTACTGACATTTGCCTACCTTAGTCTGCAGCAGATCAGCTGTATCCTGTGTTGTTTTTATGTGATCTGATACTAAGTGCTGCATCCTCTTGCCTCAGTCATGAAGATGCCACTAGATTCCAAAAACTTAACTGGTTTCTAAATTCCTTTGTCTTGTAATGGAGAGAGAAAACTGTATGAATGTGAGCGAGGGTGTTCATCACCCATCAGGCTAACTTTATGGAACTGGCCATGTCTCAGTTACAGTGTGATCAACCATGATTCTCCCCAGATTAATGGAGGAATTAAAGAAAAGGAGATTTATTCCCCCCTCCTTCTTTACAAGACCTTTAAGTCATCTGCAACCTTGAGGTGGCTCTGCCCACGCTTTTTTCCCTTGAAGTGCATATCCTTAGAGCATACCCAGTGTACCAAGGAAGCTTTTAAAGTATAATAGAAGATTTTGTTTGAACGTGAACTAGGCTGATATTTAATTAAATAAGGGAAAGTGGATGTGCTGGAGAAGATGAAATAAAGGAGAGTTACAAATTAATCACATTCTATGATTCTGTAATATATACATATTTTCTTGCCTGCTAAGTTCTTGAAGAACAGGTGTGTTTACTCATGTTCTGACTGCATCAACTGCGAGTGACCTAGGTCACTACAAATTCCATGTGATCCCTTTTGCCCTTGGGGAAAAGCTTCTTTGAGGCTGGCTGCATGTCTTCCAGTAGCTCTTCCAAGGAGTCCCCAGTTCTCTGCACTTGCTGTTGGTGCAGGATTCACCATCTCTTTCTCTCTGCCTTCCTCTGTCTGCGTTTGCAAAGTTTCTCACAGGTTAGTGTGTTCAGTTGCAGTCAGAAAGAGAAGGATCTCCCTTTGCTTCTGACAGCTTCCACTAGAGCCAGGATATAGCAGCCAGTCTGTGCTGATGGATGCTCCTTTGTAAAGTACAGTGTACAGAAAGCTACAAGCGAAATACCGGCCTTTTCAAGGGAGTATTTCTGATCAGTGATTCTAGATACGTCATTGCAGATTACTTGATTTGTTTGTATTCAGTTAAATACCTTGTCTTTTGGAGCAATTCAAAGACAACTGTAAAAACAAGAGTGTGAAAAAGGACGGCTTGTAGAGATAAATATGTTTTTAAGAAACCGTAGTAAATTGGTTGTAATTCAACCATCTGAAGTCAGATTTGGCTGACAAAAAGCAATGTTTAGATATATGCTTTGATTTTTGTATAGGATGCTATTAGACTAATAATCTTGATCTCACCTGGAATAGTCAGGAGTAAAGTTCATAATACTTAGGAAAATCCAAGGTGTAACCAAGAAAATTACATAAAGGATATACGCTCATTAGTCTTAATACTTGTATATGACACTTGGGAACCATTTAGGTTTTAACAGAATTAATTGGGGAGCTTTCAGCCAAAAACCTCCAGTGTTTTACTTCCCTATTTTAAAAAGTGGAAAAATAATCTTTGGTCATCCATATTTACAGAAGGTTGTACGAAGAGTCATTATGTAAATGAGATGATCTTGGAGTCATCAAAGCTGGAAGAGAGAAAAGACCTATTAGCTCACCTAGTCTGTCTCTCTGCAACACAAGGTTGTTTTCTAGTTTTTAATGAGCCAGCCTATGGAGCTGAGGCCACATCCCCTGGGAGGCTATTCCAGGCTAATGCTAATGCATTCTTATCATAAGAAAATTTGTCTTTCTATTTTGTTTCTTTTCCTTAATGTAATTGTGGAGGGGGGGTTTCCTATTTGATACTTCCTTTTAACCTGCTAAATTCCCTCTTGCTTTTTGCTATATACACTGTACAGGCGCTTGTCAGCTTTGGATTAGCCATTCAGCTTAATGATCTAACGATAGTTCCTCTGTCACTATTTTGGTAACTCGATCTCTTCAGCTCCCATCTACTTATTTCTGGTACCTGAGGCAGGACTGGAGGGTTGAGTGCAACAGCATAATTTTTATTTTCCCTGTATAAGCAATAATATTTTTTTCCTGCAAATTTGCAATCAGGATCTGATTGGATATTTTACATCTCTGTTTATTGGGACAACATTTGGGAAAGAAATGATATGTGATGCCAAATGCCTGTTATAGCTTAGGGCAGGTATCCAGTCACACAGTTACTGTCTCTGTGCTGTTGCTCGTCTTCTCAACATGAATTGCCTCTATGAGTTGTTGCCCTTGAGAGTCCCCTCAAAATAAATGGTCTCCAAACAGCCAAGCAGTGAGAGTAACAATAGTCATTTAAGTCACAAAAGGGTTTGTTCATGTTGGGTATTAATTTAAAAACATAGCCATGATCACTTTAGTGCTAATAATGCAGAGGACAACATTAATAATAGATAGATGCTTACCTGGAGACCACAATGTGAAAAGAACAACAGTCAGGCAGTCAGGCTTAAGAACTCCTCCCTTGTTTATGCCTGAGCTTCCAAGCTGATTGAAGGACAGCTCCTGGAAAGCACACAACTGGTAATGCAGTGTATTTCACTTTTTAACCCTAATCCTTCAAGTGACAGCTATTCTGGGGTCTTCTACCAGGTAGGCGGAGCAGTGACAAGCAGGTTAACAGTCTTGCTTCCTAAAAAAAAGCTTCTGCAAGTGTTACCTCTGTAAAACTTCTCAGAAACACTTTGTGCCGTTTGTCGATCGGCAGCTCCTCCGTAGTTCCGCCACTTCTCCTCATGAGTAGTTACGTTCCTCCTTGGCCCTTCCATACACACTCTTCACATCACCTGGTCTCCTTTACCCAAATTGATGAACATTTCACTGTCTTAGCTACTGATTGATTTTGAATCTTATTTTCATTCAGCTTCCAGCTGTGGTTCAGTTGCTAAGGTCACATGAGTATTCTGTTTCTCATGCATTATTTCAGTTTAAAGGGTATTTGTCTTGACACCTTGCTTGATGAGTTGGTGGAAATGGTGATGATCCTGCACCAGTCTTAAGACTTGTGCCCAAAAAGCCACAATTCCAAAAGCACCAAAAGAGGTTATTTTGAGGAAGAAGCTAATGCTGGTGAAAAGTTGTGAAAGAAGAAATAAACTATTAAAAAGAGATATGTAAGGATAGTGATGCCGTGAAAAGGCTGAAATCAGAACTTAATAGCTTGATGTCTATTAACCAGATATTCTTTATTGCAGCGCTGGGCACACCTGGGATGGCTACACCTGGTGTGTGCCCCGAGAAAGGCTAAATGTACAGCTTTTATACAGTTTAGATACACATATTCGTGCAATTTCCAAGAACTCATTAACATGTTTCCGCCCACTCCCGCATGCATAATACAGTCTTCCAGTGGTCGTCAGGGGTCTCTGGTGGTCGTTTTACTTCATCATGGTAGTCTTCATGGGGCTGTCCTGTTTTACTTCATCATGGTAGTCTTCATCGGGCTGTCCTGTTGATAGGCTCCATTCAGTTAACTCCTTGTCTTTGTTAAGAGACCCTAAGGCTGGCCTAGGCTGGTTCTGCATAATGGCCCTTGGGAGTCTTGGGGCATTCCATCTTTGAAGATAAGAGTGTTCTGTCATAGAATCATAGAATCATAGAAT